ACTCTCCTGTTCGAACTCGTTCATCAAAATGAACAAATCTTTTTACGAGTCAATTCATTCGTTTCGTTCGTTGAATGAACCAAATGATTCGTAAAAAGATTCGTTCATTTTGATGAACGAGTTCGAACAGGAGAGTCACGAACGCGCGTCACAGAACAGAGCAAGGCGAGCATTTAAGCTTATAAAACTTAAATTTGTTATTTATTTATTAAATGAGCGATCGTTTCACTTGATAAGACCCTTATTCATCGTCTGGAATCGTTTAAGGCCCTTTGAACAGTTTGCAGTGAAACTGTCTTTTGGAGCTTGAACCGTTTGGTTCCCATTGAAGTCCATTATATGGAGAAAATCCTGGAATGTTTTCATCAAAAACCTTAATTTCTTTTCGACTGAAGAAAGAATGACTTTGACATCTTGGATGACATGGGGGTGAGTAAATTATCAGCAAAAGTTTTTTTCAAAAGTGAACTACTCCTTTAAGATGCATACAGTACACTCACATGTACTATATAGCATGTTAAATCAACTTAAATGCATTAATTTATACCAATAATATTCAAATGTATGAGTTAAATACAGTCAAATATAAACATTAGCATCATGATTTTCCGTAAAAGCTGCTATGAAATAAATAAATCACAATACACTATATAAATAAAAATTCGATTTGACATCATTCCTTTCACACACCCATAAAGGTTGACCAGGAATAGTAAATCACGAAACACATAAGGCACAAATGCTACAAATCCGGATGTATCTGCCCTTAATTTGTAAGGCACACACACACACAAGAGCTCAACCACAAACATCAAATGAGTTCTTTGAACTTCCTCACATGGGGTTTATGGGAGAGAACTGAGGTCAGCAATCAGACACAAACAACATCACCTCACAAACATCAGGCTGATCTCTCCACTGAAGAAAGGATGAATGGACAGAGAGAGAGAGAGAGAGAGAGAGAGAGAGATGAACTGTATTGATCGGGTATTAAACGCATTCCTCCTTGAGACGAGTCTCAAACAGATGCTTTACACAGCGAACGAGTCCAACACACAGACACATTCGCAGCAGATTGTCTGTTGTGTGTAATTACTGCTGTCTGTGCTGATACAGTCAGATCCTCCTACACACACACACACACATTACAGCAGAATCTAATCGAGCAGATGATCTGAAGTTAAAATTAGCATTACACTCAACATGAACAATATTAAAAAACATTTAGGCTATTATCAAATCTGTTGTCTCTCTACCATATTTATACTGCGACATATTAGTGTATTTATTGCACTTTAAAAGCCCGTTCACACCAAGGTCGATAACTATAGCCATAACTTTTGAACTATTTCATTACTAAGTGGGAAAAAAGGTAATCTAGGACCTTTCGAGTCATGACTCGAAAAAAGATTCGTTCATTTTGATGAAGGAGTTCGAACAGGAGTCACGAACGCACATCACAGAACAAGGCGAGCATTTGTGCTTATAAAACTTAAACTTTTATTTATTTATTAAATGAGCGATCGTTAGACCTTTATTCATCGTCTGGTGTTGTTTAAAGCCCTTTGAAGCTGCACTGAAACTCTCATTTGGACCTTGAACCGTTTGGTTCCCAATGAAGTCCATTATATGGAGAAAATCCTGAATTGTTTTCATCAAAAACCTTAATTTCTTTTCAAGTGAAGAAAGAAAGACGTGGACATCTTGGATGACATGGGGGTGAGTAAATCATCAGCAAAAGTTTTTTTTTTTAAAGTGAACTATTAAGATTGAGCCACTGTAGTCACTCGGACTATTTTAACGATGTGCAGTTTCGATCCCTTAAGAAGCCTATGGAGGAGTGATCCAGCTCTCAGATTTAATCAAAAATATCTTAATTTGTGTTCCGAAGATGAACGAAAGTCTTACGGGGTTGGAACAACATGAGGGAGAGTAATTACAGATATAATTTTCATTTTGGGGTGAACTATCCCTTTAAAAGCCCACTGAAGTGCCTTGAAACACGCAGCTTTATTCAATGTGTTGACGTAATTTCCAGGCAATCGAGCAGCTCCTCCTCTTTTCAAAATAGCCAATAGCTTTCAGTTTATATCACAGCATGACCAGAGCCGTCAGATTCTAGAGAGCATTTGATTGGACAGAAAATCTGATGAGAAGCTGAAGTGCATGTCAGAGTGATGTCATCAAAATCCATATTGGCAGAAATGAGAGACTGTAAATTTTGAACGCTTATATCTTCTAAATGTGAATTTTGTCATTGTTTTCATACTAAAAAAGCTAAAAAAAATTCAATTGGGGATTATTTGCGGACTTTGTTAGTATATTGAAGCCCACATCACAACTATAACGATAACAACAAAGAGTACCTAACAATATCATTGGAATCTCTTTTTTTCCAAACGCTGAACTATACAAACATTGTCAGCCATTCAGAATCCATCTGACTTTAAAGAGCTGGAGTATGTAAAGCGATAGACGATAAAACTGCATCACAAACTTGAAATACACACTCATATAGTTATAGTTATCATTCTTAGGGTGAACAGTCAGGCATTATAAGTATTTATACAATTCGTCATCATACATGCGTATAAAATGAACAAAAATAACAATCCATGGTGTGGCAATGTGCCTTACTCCAGGCTAGATGCCTAATTTAACACGGATGAAAGTTTTCAGCTATTGGCTGAATGGAAAATTAAGTTCTGTACTGTTTGCTTGTGCTAAAAATTCCAGCATGTTTTGATTCTAAGAATGCCCAAAACTATTGGATATTCCTGTTTCCTTTTCTAATTAATTCAATCATCTGTTGAGCTGTTTTATGTTTAAAGGGTTAATTATTCACCCACCCAAAATAAAATAAACCTTCAGGAAGGAGTGAATTCAGGGTGATTGGGACACGTTTTCCAAGTCATATCAGTGGCATCACCCCTAAATAAATGTCATAAAATGCATTTCTAGGTGCAAAATATTTCTTTAAATACTCTCACAAGAGAATATGGAGTCTAACTAAACACAAACACAAAACAAAACACCAAAAACTCCCTGAAAAGGTCTGTGAAACTCATGTAATATACGTGTATAAAGAACATGCTGTCACATAACATATGCAGTCATTGATAAATGATTATTTTAGTTCCAACTCAGAACCATTTTTCCCACCACACAAAGTCAAACTTTCACACACACACACACACACACACACAGTCGACACTGATGGGAGTTTAATTCTGTGTTCCTCGGTTGTGATTGCTGAGTAAATGTTGGAGTTTCTCCTGCAGGAGGTTGTTTAGTATTCAACACACACTACAGCGCATTACAACATTAACATATGAAAAGAGCTGCAGCTCTTTAACACACAACACACACTCTGTCACCTTTAGCCAAAAGACAAGTCAACTACACACTTCACTGAGGATTCTGTGTTGCAAACATTTACACAACGTTTCATTAGTTTCATACATTTTGTCAGGGTTTGTCAAACTATCCCGAGTGTTTCCACAATTAATTTGCATAATATGAGCCAAAAAATCATTCACATGCAAGCGAACTGTCGTGTTTCTTATTCCACTAACTTTGATTCGGCAACAAGCTGAAGAATCTTTGACGCGACGCGGCGCAACAGCGTCACACAAACTCTCGCGCCCGATCTAGTCCGTTTATAACTAACGTTACGTTCAATAACTCCGGTGCTTTCTTACCGTGGCTCAGTCGCACGAGTGTCGGTAAGCGGAATTTGCTCACGATCACGTCCAACGGCAGCGACACGGAGCTCCACGAGAGTCCGGTAATGCTCGCGGATAGTTTCTCCATCTTTCATCCGTCACCATCATCATCATCACTCGCATCACGGGGACGGAACGGAACCGGTGTCAGGAGCGCATGGGGCCATGATGAAGAGAAACGCGTGAGAGAAACTCTGAGTCTGAAGTGATGTGATCCAAACCGGACTCACCGAGCGAGGCGCGCGACACCCGCCCTCCTCACGCACCCGCACTCACACCCGCGCGCACCGCTACACTGACAGTGCGCGCTGGAGGTTCATATCATTTCAAAATTTCAATGGGTCTATATATATATATATATATATATATTTTTTTTGGAAGACTTTTTAGATATTAAGTAGCCTACAACACTTGTGTGAATATTAATTAAAATTCCCTAATATTTCCAAGTTAACGACCGTGGGAACCTTCCTTGCCAATTATAGGGGGGTCTTGGCTTAATAGCATTTGCGTCATTGACTAATTATTGACAGTGGACAATAACATCTTGTACTCAGGCCTATGACTTTATGATTAATACAAAAGTTAGTTTTACTTTAAAAAAAAACATGAAATCAAAATTTTCGGGTTTTTCTTTTTTTTTGGCTTTTAGTATGAATAGTCTTATTGTTGTCTATAAGCTGGTGTGTTCGTCTAAATCAATGACAGAATTCACATTGAGAAGATAAAAGCGTTCAAAACTTACAGTCTCTCACTTCCACCAATATAGATAAATCAATGAATTTGATGACATCACTCTGCACTTCAGCTTCTCATCAGCTTTTCTGTCCAATTAAACTTGGACCATAATCATACAAATTATAACAAATAAAGGCTTGAAATATCTCACTTTGCATATAACGAGTCTGTATAATATATTAGTTTCACCTTTTAAGTTGAAACACTGAAATAAATTAACTTTTGCATGATATTCTAATATTTAGAATTTCACATATATATATATATATATATATATATATATATATAGAGAGAGAGAGAGAGAGAGAGAGAGAGAGATGTGTAATAGACAAGCTCATGAAAAGTCAATAACAAAATCATTACACATCATAATAATGACCCTAAAATAGCCATATAGTGATGAGATAATGCTGAACCTGCTTTTGTTTTGTTTTTTATAGGATGTGGGAATGTAATCCTGGCACCAGCCAGCAGAGGAAGACAGCGAGACACTGCATACATTCAATTCACACTGATATTGTGAGTAAAACGATCTGATTTGGACTGTATATTTTATTTAAAATGCTAATTCCGCCTAGCCCAGTGAAATAATCTAATAGTAAACAAACAACTGTTACATTCTGATCTTACTGAATACACACACAGTTCATTTTCAATTGTGTTTTATTGTACTATGTTATTTAGTTTGCTTTTCCCTTTAAAGTCAAAACAATCTGCATAAATGTGGAGGTAGAAACGGATTTCTTTCTATAGCTCATTCACACAAATGAACACACACTCACAAACACGGTAAAGGTGAATCTCATGTTATGAAACATGCTCAGGTTATATTTCAACTCCAATCAGAAGAAATAATATGACATTTTCATGACATCATCCTCCCAATTCTCAATACTGTATGAAAATGCAAAAAAAAAAAATGTATTTTCACATTAATGCTGATTTGAATAATGTCCAGACAGATTACAGTTATGAAACACTCAACCCCAAATTTAGTACATATCTGCCATTAAAAATAGTGTAACAAAGAATAAAAATTCTTTATGCGTAATTTAAATTTGTTTCTTTTAGTATCGGGTGTAAAATGAGATCTGAACATGTTTTCATGAGATTCACCCAAAAAAATGATTTCTTGATGGCTGCCGTACATTGATCCATAAACTCATCATGCCTTTCCGTCGTCAAATAAATACAGTTTTAGTAAAGTGCTTGAGAGGTTATGACACTTCACCCCGTGACCTCAGTAATTATAATATTTCCTAAGAAACAAGAGCCCAGTGTAACCCGTACACAGCCGTGACATTGTAAATTGATATGAAATCAGTCATGAATGTAGTTCAGGTTATAGCATTCAGTCCTTTTGAAATGGTTTTAGCGTTTCTACTAGAAAGTAACACATCGAATAATGAAAGCGCGGAGGAGCGGGAAAGACAGTGGCCGATTCAGTGAACAGGAGCGCAAACAGTCCAGAAGGAAATCAAACTGTAAGAAGGGCCTCGTAACGTTTCACTCGATCCAGCTGAGGTTCAGGCAGCGAGCGATGAAGGCGTACATGTCCGCCACCTCCTGAATGACTTTACTGGTGGGTTTTCCTGCACCGTGGCCTGACTTAGTGTCCACGTAGATAAAGAGAGGGTTTGACTGGCCGGGACGGTGACCAATCTCATTCTGCAGGGTGGCGATGTATTTTAACGAGTGCAGCGGCACCACGCGGTCATCGTGGTCGCCCGTCAACAACAGGACAGCGGGATACTGAACCCCGTCCCCTTCTGGAGCACGGATATTGTGAAGAGGAGAGTACCTGCAGGATCGGAAAGTTTAGTGTCAGTGACGCACAATAAAATGCATGCACGACAAAAAAAAAAAAAATTGTCACCATATTTAAAATAAGAAACATTTTCATGCAACATATTCAGTTGGTGTGCTGCTGACATTACACAAATTTCATATAAAACAAATTGTGGGTTATATTCGAACTGGATGAGCAAATCAATGATATTATTTTAGTTTAACTAATTTTATTTATATTATATTATAGTCAGGGAGCCAAAGTCTCAAAAATGGGTTGAGCCTGACATGGTCTGCCATACTTTTTATTTGCGTTTTTTCTGCTCTGCCGGAAATATCGCGAAAAAAAATTGTGGCCATTTTAGTGTACGCACGAAATGAAATGCTTTGAAATTTTGAGCCTGTTGATCGCCAACTAGTAGTGAAATCATCACAGATCCATTGATTTTGTTTGGATTTTTATCATTTTTTCTGTGGAATGAGTATAGTGTTTGGTGAAAAGAATGGCATATTGCCTGTTGTCATAACTTAATGGAATAGTTCATTGCAAATGAAGTAAAGATGAAAATAGTGGAAAAAAAGTGAAAAAAACGCCAGGTTTTTTTTGCATTAAATTGATGCAAAATCATGTAGAAATGTAATTTAAGAATTATTTTTTCAGTGTATGTTGTCCGCACATGTGTTCTGTGTGTCTGGAATGCATTTATTGAGAACCTACCCAACCCACTAAGGATTTGATGAAAAAAATAATTTTCACATTTTTCTGATAAATAATAAAGGGTGCGTACACTAACATGGCCACAATTTTTTTTCGCGATATTTCCGGCAGAGCAGACCCTCCAATTATTTGTTCTTAGGGTCAAAGTTAACAGAAAAAACACAAATAAAAAGTATGGCAGACCATGTCAGGTTCAACCCATTTTATAGAGCTTTTGAGACTTTGGCTCCCTGACTATTACAGCATTTATTACTGTTATTAATTACCTTTTTCATTTTAGAATTTAACTTCAGGTTTTAGCAATTTGTTGTGCTTGTATTATTCGTTTTTTAGCTCAATTCTGGATACATTGAGAATCCCGATTCTCCCACAATTCTGCATAGACAAATAAACCAAATAACAAATAAAACATATTTAATTCATTTATTTATTTATTTTTTAGTGGGGTTGAATGAATGATTTAATGACTCGCTCAAAACAACAACAAAAAAACAATTCAATTGTTTAATTACTGGATGAATGAGTGTTTTTGAACGAATTTATTGAATGAATGATTCAATGAAAAATACATTTTTAACAGTCACTTGTCGCCACCTACTGGTGTAATTGATACAATAATTAGTTGCTTTGAAAGGTGATTTACTCTATTTTGATCACTTCCGTAGACACCAGTGCTTATATTCGAACTATAAACATTATTTCCCAGTACTTCTGTGATCATTTTAATTACTGTAACACAGAAATTATGATACTTTTTGGTTGAAAAGACGCTGTTTTATCATTATACCTGTTCGCTGTGATTATTACACTTGTGCGTACTTGTCAAAGTTTTAATAGAAGCAAAATCGTTGTCATTTAAGAATAAAACTGATATATGTGTTAATCATACAGCTCTACTATTTTAGCTTTGTTTGTTTTTAGTTTTAGTACTTTTTTTTTTCATTATTTCAGTTAGTTACCAAGGAAACATTTTCGTTTTTCTTCTATTTATATTTTATTTCAGCTATTTTATTTATGATTTTTTTTTTTTTGATTTGTTTAACAACACAAACGCAGTATATTATAATAAAATAATGTGTAAAAGTATATTTATATATAAAGGTAAAATAAGTTTTATAAGGTTTAAATACATTACATATTTTAATCATATTGCTGTTGCCACCATACTGTAAAATCAATTATCCATATGACATTGTGCATTACAAAGATTTTACCACAGTTAAAGGGTGCCTTTAAGTAAACTCACTTGATTAACCAATCAAACTGCTCTTTGAGTTCAGAGCAGCCGAAATCAGAGGTCCAAGCGTGCCCGATGGTGAACTTATGAAACTTTAACATGTCCATGACGCCGACCTGAGCCACAGCACAGCCGAACAGATCGGGCCTCTGATTCACACACGCCGCTGCAGGAGACAGGAGTCAGGAGTCAGAACCAGAAGAAAACAAACACGTGTGTGTGTGTATTTGTGTGTGTGTGTGTCGTACCCACGAGCAGCCCCCCGTTAGAGCCTCCGTTGATGGTGATTTTGCTGGAGGAGGTGTAACCCTCCTTTATTAGATACTCGGCTGCACACTGAAAGTCAGTGAAACAGTTCTGCTTATTGGCCAACATCCCCGCTGCACAGGAACAGAGAAAAGTAAGAGACACTTTTAATGTTAAAGACCACCAGTTATGCTCCAAACGCATACTACACATACTATTTCTGCAGTATGTACACTAGCGTTCAAGTATGCGGTCGATTATTCTCTTCTGCTCACAAGGCTGCATTTAAAATTTGTAAATTTAAAAAAAAAACAGCAAACCAGTAATAGTGTGAAATATGCTTGCCATTTTAAATAACTATTTAAATGTATTCTACAATGTGATTTATTTTGGTATTCCAGCATCATTACTCCAGTCTTCAGTGTCACATGATCCTTCAGAAATCACTCTAACATGATGATTTGCTGCTCAAGAAACATTTCTGATTATTATCAATGTTGAAAACAGTTAATATTTTTGTGCAAACATATTTTTCAGGATTAATTTACTAATATAAAGCCACGTGTGATCATACTGACCCCAAACTTTTCAATGGTAGCGTACTATATATATAGTTTATATATATATATATATATATATATATTTATACAACAGTGTTGGATGTAACTAATTACTAAGTAATTACTTTAATTACTTTTCCCTTGAAAATGTAAAGTAAGGGATTACTCTTCATTTATCTGTAATTTAATTACAGTTACTTCTGATGTAATTGAGGTATAGATCAATCCGATCTCACAGCGATTCGTATGCATTTTATGAGATGTCTAAATTGTACAAATTCGTATGAATTATTGTAAAATATGTATGAAAAAAGTGTGAAATGTCTTGAGATCAGACATAAAACAATACTGGGTTTAACATCAAAATATATTGTCTGATGTTATAAAAACATACTTTTTAATGTAACCTTCTCCACCTTAATTCATGTAATTTTATAGTATTTATTTGAAAGAATTAAAACAGATTCATGTCTATCCTTGTATTATTCAGCTGGTTGAGATTGATATGGGATTTTGAAAGTAATTAGTAATTAAAAGTAATTAAATAATTTTTAAAGAGAGTAATTAGTACAGTAATCTAATTACACTGTTGAAGAGGTAATTAGTAACTAGTAATTGATTACTTTTTCAGAGTAACTTACCCAACACTGATATACACACACTCAATATATATATATATATATATATATATATATGGTATATATTCTTTTTTTATCATTATTGTAAGCAGGATATATAAAATGCATAGTATATCATTGTCTAGTATTCTATATTAGGAATGTGCACAGATCAATTCCTGATTAAGTCCAGATTTACAGTCACATGCCTTTATGCCAAGTCTCTCCATATTCTCCACCTCCTCTGATGTTGGCCACAGCTAAAACTCCTCCCAGATGCCTGACAAATATCAGCCGAGAAACGCTGAAAAACAACCGGGACAGGCGTTTACAGGAACAGGAGGGAGATGAATGTATGGAGTGTGTGATTGGATGTGTGTTTTGGATTGGATTGTACCTGTAGCTGGGTGTGATGGAAATATTGAAACCTCCGTATCCGTATAAGAAGGCGGGATGGGAACCATCCAGCTCGATTCCTTTCTTATGGACAATAAACATTGGGATTTGGGTGCCGTCTTTACTGGGATAAAACACCTGTAAGAAACACACAGACATAAAGTGAAGGTGATCATACCACAGAGAGACGGACGGACAGACACAGACAGACAAAGAGACAGACAGACACCGAAATACAGACACAGAGAGACAGACAAAGAGACAGACAGACAGACAAAGAGAGACAGACAGTCACAGACAGACAAATAGACAGTCAGACAGACAGACAGACAGATAAAGAGAGACAGACAGTCACAGTCAGACAGACAGAGAGGGGGTCAGAAAGACAGACACAGAGAGAGAGACAGACAGATGGACGAGCAAGTGTGTAGCTATACCTGAGTGGTCTGGTAGTCAGCAGGATTGATGCCCTTCACTGTGACCTCTCTGAAGACGTGTGGCTTCAGCGGCTCTTTAGTCAGATCACAGTGATAGATGATCGCTGCAGGAAAGCACAGCACATGTCACTCCACACACACTCGTTACAGCATAACCTGACAATTATTAATGAGTTATTAAGGTCAGAAGCTTCTGAATCTTGACGGACCTGGAGACAAAAACGAGGTGAAGCTGTAAAAGATCTCAGAGTCTTTCTTCCTCCCAGTGAAGCCCACGATCGAGCCGACGTCCAGCGGGAACGTGCGGATCTCCTCGCCCGAGGACAGGCGGAACATCTTCAACACGTTCTTCACGTCATGGAGGAAACACACAAACAGGAAACTGGAGTATGTGCAGGTAGCAAACACTGAGAGAGAGAGAGAGAGAGAGAGAGATTAAGAGAAATCATGTTCATCATAACAAACCACTGACAAAATCATATTCAAAATTAATAAATACATATAGAATACAAACAGATTTTATACATGCATATTATACTAAATATTATAATTAAATACTTAAATTAATAAAGAAACTGAATATTAAAATATAATGTCTATGTTGTTTTTGTTTTGTTTCCACATTCATTTTGAGATTAACTGTGAAATTAATACAATATAAAAAATATATTAAAACCTTTAATGTTAAGTGTGATTAATCGTGATTAATTATAAAAATATGCAATTAATTAGTTCATTTGCTTAATCAATAGACAGCACTACTTATTTATATAAGTATATATATATAATATTATATAGACAATTTATTCTGCATACACGCATAAACTCAAATTTCTAACAAATTTCTGTAGGACAGGACATTTTTATCCATTTATTTGATTGAACTGTTAGAAGTGGGAGAAAGTAAATACATTTTAATTAATAGAATATGAAAAAAACCTTTTTGTTATATTATAATACATGCAGATTAATTAGGCACAGTAAGTCTTGTGACATTTATTAAAAAAGTAAATCTTTCATCTCTAATAACATCATCTCGCCTCACCGATGACGTCTTTGTCATGTTGGGGAATGAGCTCTTTCCATTGGCTGGCGGACGGTTGGGCGAAGTCGATGTTGATGAGTCGATACTGAGGAGCGTCCAGGTTGGTTTTAAACGTGAAAACGGTTCCTTCATTTGTGATGTATTCATACTCCGCATCAAAGTTATCGATCAGCTTCACCCAAGGCAACAAACCTATCGTGAATAAGAGAGAAATGACACACTGGCAGCAGAAAATAAGTATTTCTGTCTGAATAATGATGTGTCTGTGCGTCTGTACCAGTGATTCCCTGCGGGACGTCGTTCAGGTCACAGTACCACAGTCTATTAACGGGGTCACAGCCCTCTCTGATGGACAACAGCACGTAACGGCCGTCATCAGACACCTGAAAACACACACGCATGCATTATATCTCTCGAACATCATCAGAAATTAAGTACCGTCTTCGTTTGTTTGTTACCTCAGCACCGCCCATCCATTTGGGCTGATCGGGGAACTCGGCGCACAGGACGTCCTGAGACTGAGGGGTTCCCAACACATGATAGTACAACTTCTGGTGCAGGTTAGTGGACGTCTCAGTGCCTGAGAGACAGACAGAGAGAGTTTGATTAAGATCTCGTACAAATGTTTTTATTCCTCACTGAAACTAAACAAAAATACATAAATAAATAGGTAATTTTTTGGTAATTGAAATAAATCTAAAATAAAAATTAGGACTGTCAAGCAATAATTTAGAAAAAAAAAATCGAATTAATTGCATGATGTGGCGATTAATTAATCTAATTAAACGCACAAAAAATTTGGCTGGGAAATTAGAAAAGCAATGAGAAAAGCATCACATAAAACATTGCAAAAAAATAAACATTAAAATATAGCTGCGAGCAGCGATGGCGGGCCCAAGCCGGTGGCACCGCAACCCCGGTTCCTTTAGTTACCTAAATGCACCCGGGTGGCGGTGCCGAAGGCTTTGGCCCTTTTATGATTAAATGTTAAAACGGCTTGCCATACTCTGTCATTTCGACTAGTCACAATTATGTTACAGATGTCTTAAATGATAATACAAACTATCCAAAATGTAATTACGAATAGACAGAAAGACGTTGTTGATATCTACAATGTTAATTCCGGACAGGCAAACTTAGCTTTTAAATGTTAAAAGGGCTTGCCATACAGGGACGTAGGCTCAGAGAGAGGCTCACCATATTCAAACCAAAATATCTGACTTCCTCTTGGTCCGAGCTAATGACTATGTATTAGAAAGTTGTCCGGCTTGAGGAGTACAATGTATATAGCAATTTTTGTAACTGTAGATAAAACTAACAACCCCACTTTTGTCAAAAGGTGGCGCTATTTAGTCCTTGCACTATGCCCGTTTCTGAAACTTTGCACATGTCTACTGGCTAATAAATGTGATGTGTCTGTCGAGTTTCATGCATTTTGAAGCATGCTAAGGGTCTCAAAAGCATCCTAAAAGCATCCTAAAAGAAGGGTAAAGTTTGATGCGTCGCCACGGCAACAGTTTCAAAGATATCAAGAATCCATTCACAGGTCTACATCTGCCGTATGTTTACATTATACATATGAAGTTTGAAGCAAATCGGGTAAAAATAAAAGGGTGATATCAAAGCATTTTGAAAGTGACACACTTCCTGCTGCCAGTTGGTGGCGCTATAACTTTGACTCACAATAGTCACATCCATGTGATCGTCCTCTTACAGCGAACACACTGCTGAAGTTTCATCAAGATCAGTTAATGTATGCTGAAGTTATAACACACTTCCTGTTTCACGTTTCTCGCCATGATTTCGTTTCCTCGCCACGGACAAACCGTTCGAGATATAAAAAATCCCCTCGCAAACTTTCATCCTCAATGTCTTGACTTCACGCTGACCGAGTTTCGTCGAATGTGGATCAAAGCTCTAGGAGGAGTATTTGACATTCCATTGCGAGCGTTTTACAAACAAACCTCAATAGCCAAATTCCTGTTGGGCTGGGGTAAAAAGTAAGAGCGCGAGGTATAGATGAAACGATGAGATCAACGTGTGTACCGAGTTTCATATTATTACATACAAGCGTGTTTGAGTTATGGACCAAGTGTTCGGACCCCGTTCCAGGGGGCGCTGACGAGCTGCCCTGCCACGCCCGGGTACCATCTTCAGCCCGGCTCTGATGGCCGCGGGTTCTGACCCGTGTGCAAAGTTTCAAGAGTTTTCGAGCACGTTAAGGGCCCCAAAAGTGCCCAAAAGGTAGCAAAATAATAATAATACTAAAGAATAAATATAGCTGCGAGCAGCGATGGCGGGCCCAAGCCGGTGGCACCGCAACCCCGGTTCCTTTAGTTACCTAAATGCACCCGGGTGGCGGTGCCGAAGGCTTTGGCCCTTTTATGATTAAATGTTAAAACGGCTTGCCATACTCTGTCATTTCGACTAGTCACAATTATGTTACAGATATCTTAAATGATAATACAAACTATCCAAAATGTAATTACGAATAGACAGAAAGACGTTGTTGATATCTACAATGTTAATTCCGGACAGGCAAACTTAGCTTTTAAATGTTAAAAGGGCTTGCCATACAGGGACGTAGGCTCAGAGAGAGGCTCACCATATTCAAACCAAAATATCTGACTTCCTCTTGGTCCGAGCTAATGACTATGTATTAGAAAGTTGTCCGGCTTGAGGAGTACAATGTATATACCGATTTTTGTAACTGTAGATAAAACTAACAACCCCACTTTTGTCAAAAGGTGGCGCTATTTAGTCCTTGCACATTGCCCGTTTCTGAAACTTTGCACGTCTACTGGCTAATAAATGTGATGTATCTGTTGAGTTTCAAGCAATTTCAATTTCAATTTGACTGTTGAAAAGAAGTGCGCCGATTAGATACTCAGGATCGGTATCGGCTCTGACACTGCCATCTTTGACGAGGCTGATTCAAATTCTATATTGTGCATATACTATTCTGTTAGGCACAAAGGCACAAAAACTTTCTAAAGTACCATAAAGTTTTTGTGTACTGTATTATTAGTGTTCTGAAGCTATTATGTGATATAGAAATTAATATTTAAGTCATTAAATTCAAGAACACAAACTTTTCCCTCTCTGCGCCTGTCAGTCATTCTCCATTCAGCATTCAAACAGCACGTCACATTCGGTTACAGTCAATGATGAAACGATCTTCAATGATTCAATGTTAATCCTATTATACTGGATCTTTAAGATAAAGGTCTAAAGGTCTATATTTTCGAATGAAGAAACTTTTTCTTGCTGGACTTTATTGCTGTAACTTAATCGTGTTACTTTCTACCGGGTGTCGGACGCTGTCGGTTAGATCACAACACTAGAGTCAGAGCACTATAATTGTTCTTCACGCACACAGTAACTGAAATTTAAAACCTTTAAAAGAAAAGGCTCAATAAACTATTGCATAGATAGATAATGTATAATACACTGTTCATAAATATGTATTTCCTTTGTGCTTTGAACTTTTCAATACGGACTCAATGCGCTGTAACTTCATGTGGCTTCAAGCACATCATTCTCCGCTCGGGATGCACATAAGTGCTTTGTGCTGCACCGTATTGGAGCCGTAATATCATAATGCAGTGACGTAATGACAGATTATTAATTGCCTTTCAATTATATGTTGCTTTATAGCAGCCATGGCTATATTTTTTTTTAATGATTTTTGTTATCTTGTTTTTCATGAATGTATTTTTCAAAAATAAGAGCAATGTGTATTATCTATTATTAATATGGTTTATAATAGCATTTTTGTCATAGATTATGACAAAGTAATCATATGATCCACCAGCGAGGAACCAGCAGAACAGAGTGAACATTCTTTCTGTTTAGTTCAATCCTACTTAATAGGAATTTATTTAAAATGCTCGCTCTACTCCACACCATTAATGTCTTGTGCGGACATCCGTATTTTGACTTTCGGTTTTAAGTAAGCGATTTAAAAGCTCCCAAGTCCCAGCGGAGTCACACGTTGATTAACCGGTGGGAATATACACAATAGGCCTACCTGATATTGAACACAAGAGGGCAGTATAGCACTACGTATGACTCAGATTATTATTTTTTTATGAATTTTACAACAATTCTGGCTGTTTTTGAACGTAAACACAATTCTTAAATGAAAAAAAAGGAAAAATTGGGGAAGTTATAATATTTGTATAATTTAATTTAGAAACAAATGATGTATAATTACATTTTTAGAAGATATGAGGCTTTTAGTGTTTACTTTTTTGACATTACTTTAATCTTTTGCCATAGTTGCACATGTCTATTGGCTAATAAATGTGATGTATCTGTTGAGTTTCAAGCAATTTCAAGCAAGCTAAGAGTCCCAAAAGCATCAAAAAATAATGTTAAAGTTTGTTTCGTTGCCACGGCATTTTGAAAGTGACACACTTCCTGCTGCCAGTTGGTGGCGCTATAACTTTGACTCACAATAGTCACATCCATGTGATCGGTCTCTTACAGCGAAAACACTGCTGAAGTTTCATCAAGATCAGTTAATGTATGCTGAAGTTATAACACACATCCTGTTCCATGTTTCTCGCCATAATTTCGTTTCCTCGCCACGGCCAAACCGTTCGAGATATCAAAAATCCCGTGGCACTTTTTCATCCTTAATGTCTTGACTTCACGCTGATCGAGTTTCGTCGAATTTGGTTCAGTGCTCTAGGAGCAATAATTTAAATTACATTGCATGTGTTTTAAACACAACCCTAAATAGCCAACTTCCTGTTGGGCTGGGGTAAAAAGTAAGAGTGTGAAGTATATATGAAACGATGAGATCTATATGTGTACCAAGTTTCATATTATTACATGCAAGTGTGTTTGATTTATGGACCAAATTTTCAGACCAAGTTTATTGACCAAGTTAATCTGATTAATAAACTAATTATATAAAACTATTGTCAATTCACTACAATTAAACTAGTTATATGCCTTTACTTATAAAAAATAAAAATAAAAACTTATTTAAAAAATACCAGGCTTGAGAAATGTATTTTCTTTATGCAGGTCATACACACAGCAGTGAAATGGTTAAGCCCCCTCCCCCTGCACACACACACACACACACACACAGACAGCCAGCCAGCCAAGGCTCAGAGTGGCCATATTCAAACAAAAATATCTGAGTTTCTGTGGGTCCTAGCTAATAAGTGTCAATTAGAAAGTTGTCCGGCTCGAGGAGTACAATATACATACCAATTTTTGTAACTCTAGTTAAAACTAACCACCCCACTTTTGTCAAAAGGTGGCGCTACTGAGCCCTCACCACGCCCGTTTCTGCAACTTTGCACATGTCTACTGGCTAATAAATGTGATGTGTCTGTCGAGTTTCATGCAATTTGAAGCATGCTAAGGGTCTCAAAAGCATCCTAAAAGCATCCTAAAAGAAGGGTAAAGTTTGATGCGTCGCCACGGCAACAGTTTCAAAGATATCAAGAATCCATTCACAGGTCTACATCTGCCGTATGTTTACATTATACATATGAAGTTTGAAGCAAATCGGGTAAAAATAAAAGGGTGATATCTAAGCATTTTGAAAGTGACACACTT